ACACATTTGGATTATTTCCTCCTAACTCAAAGATTTGTCTCAAAACAATAAAACCAAGATAATTAACGGCGCAATCATCAATCAGAAATCTCTCATGTGCTTAACAAATCCAGTCATTTGAGGTGAACCACATGTAAACGTTCCTCATCCCTTCATTCTCACCCTTTCCTCTGGTTTCTGGGTAAAAGGTGAACTGTGCATGAGAACGGGGTTTGACCTGCCTCACGGTGAAGGTCACGACCAAGCAGAGCGTTAAGTAACGTGATGGTGGGTCTCCCATGTGAGTAAATACCTGGACTGAGACAGACGTTAATACCTGGTTAATACTGGGACAAAAAGGGTCAACTGGGGTTTTATTTTCAGGAACGGAGCACAGGTTATTTATATTTTATGTAATAAGACTGGGGAAGGGTTTAAAGATGAACTCTGTCCTTTATTTGATTTACTGACGTGGTGGACAAAAGGTCAGAGTCCTGTAAAGTTTAGGTGAACCTGAATCTCTTCACAGCGACGTGGATCTATAAGCTGGATCAATAATGTACTTCCTGTTAAGACAAGATTGAAGAGACATTGATTGATTTTCCTCTGGTCTAAAAACAGACTTCAGTTCATTAGATTGTGTTTAGTGTAAAGAGGCTGGAAGTTGTATTATTATTTCATTTTTAAATTGTTTCCAATTCAGTTTCAGGTAGCTTTCAGAGTTGGTTTGTGGGTTTCCTGTTTAAAAATGTTTAGTTTTAGTTTTGTTTGCATTAGTTTCAGTCTTTTTTATTATTATTATTATATTATGGGAGGGTGTTTGTCAGGGGCAAGATTTAAGAGATTCAGAATACTTTGTGTCAGTCCTGCAGACGTCACAGTCTCAATAAATATATTATATGTATTAATGCTTCCTAATGTTTCTTGTGTTGGAAAAAATTATGAAGACTAACAATAAAGACATTTCCTGTATATTTTTTATTTTATTTTAGTTAGTTTTATAAATGTGGAGCCTCTCAGTTAGTTAGTTTTTTTCAAACGTCGATTTTTTTAGTTTTAAATTGTGTTTTAGTTACGCTGCATTTTACCTTTCAGGAGAGGAGCTCAGAAACATGTAAACTGTCAGTGTGTTAGTGTTTAATTTTGAAGTAATCCAAAAATATTCAGATTAGATTACAGGTTATTAGGCTAGGTTAGGCTATAAACACTCACTATGAACTTGTTCAGTTTGAGACTGCAGCCCCTTTATCGGCTTTGTGAGGCTTTATGTTCAGAGAGAGATAAAAGTTGAGGTTAAAAGTTTGTTTTTGTTAATAAAAAAAGGTAATTAGCTCCTATGATTGGCCACAAATCAAAGTATTGGAAAGAAAATACAACTCTGACCTGCTGATGGCGCTAGAGGGAAAGTCAGAGGATCATCAAAGTGATTCATTGTGGAGGAAACATGAATGAACCCAATCCATTAGTTATTGAAATATTTCACTGTCAATCAATCGATTTTTAAGAATCATCTTCTGGATGTTTCTGGAAGTTCATCTAATAGTTGATGAGAAAGTGGTGGACTGACTTCACATCACCGTCTCCACCGCGAAAACAAATAAATTAATTAATCAATTAATCAATTACAGGAAAAGTTTCATTTAAAAAAAAGCTAAATTTGCTACAAAAGTAACGACAAGTTCAATATTATATTATTATATTGTAGATAATTCAGCTGCTACAAATGAACACAATCAAGCTTTAAGATGGAAGGATGATGAACCTGAAGTATTGATTTTGTGCTTCAGGTGTTGATTTAGTCACCTGAAACTATACAGTGTTTCAAAGTGCCTCAGTAAAGCACACAGCCCGTCTCTGACTGCACGCCTACACCTCTGCCACACTCTTTGATCAGGGAGGAGTGGATGCCTCGGGGAAACAAAACACTGCTTTCTAGGTTAAAGTGCAAGCAGGAGGAGCAGATTGTAAAAAAAAAAGAAAAGAAAAAAAAAAGAAAAAAAAAAGTCAACAGGACCCAAAGCGAGCAGGAACACACGGTTTCAGATGCAGTGTGGAATCTGGGTAAAAGGTCAGTGTGATGCAAGTGAATGAACAGAGAATCAACCTTTGAATTGTAAATAACAGCTGCTTCTGATGAGTCCCCATGACATCAACACATGAAACCGAAGAAGGAGCGTCACCTTTCACACACTTTTCTTTTGAGCTTTCCAAAACTTACACTGTTTGAAATAAATTCATGGAAACAAATAAATAAAAAAAAGTACAAGACAGTTATAGGATAGCTGGAGATTTGTTTACTTTGTTTGAAAGTGAATTAATAGAAAATCTTACAGACTTGGAATTACACTTAAATGTGATTCAATTTAGGTAAATAAAAATGTAAAATGTTGGTTTTATAGTTTCTAAACTGAATCAAAAGAAGGGAAAATGTCTAAATAGTTCAACGTGAGCTACTGAAGAAACTCCCCAGAAGCCGACCTGCAGCGTCTCATTCCAAGGCAACAATTCCTATATTCAGTGATTATACATTAATGAAAACATACTAGAACTATTATAATTCAATTTCTGCCAATAATCCGCTCCCTAAATGTTACACCACTGGACGTTAAATGAGAACATTGATAAACTCTCGTGTTTGTAAAGAAGCTACAGTTGTGACTGGTCCCCACCAACAATTAGTCCAAGCCAAATAACTCCCTGTGAAACCAAAACTTGTTGTTTTTCAGCAGATTAAACAAAGATAAAAAGTGTTAATTGATTAGCTTTAGTGGTGCTGGTACCCTCGGATAGAGCCAGCCTTTACGTTTCCCCGTTTCCAGTCTTTATGTCTGAGTTAGAGCTAAGCTAACCGGCCCTGCTGGCTGTAGCTTCATATTTACAGCAGAAACAAGAGTGTTATCAATCATTTTATTTAACTCTCGGTAAGACACTGAGTGAGCGTATTTCTAAAAATGAGAAATAACTACTCCTTTAATCTACATCAGATCTGCCCAAAGTTCGTAAAATTTAATTTGGCCAAAAAACTTAACGTTTATAATATAAATAAATTAATAATCATGTTGTATTTGTATCGACTCACAAAGAAATCAAAGTTGATCCTAAATCCAGTTTCACATTAGACTGAACTCATATTTTATTTAAAGGAAATTAAACAAAGTCTCTGTTTTGCTAATTTTAGGTTTTCTGTTGATTGATTTTTTTTTCCTCGTTCTGTGTTTCATTGAACTGACTTTGTTGTTATTTCAGATCACTACTTTCAGATAACGACTACACAAACACTCGAGGGGTTGAAGATCATGACAAAAGCGTAAAATAAGTTTGGATCCAAGCTGCAAGCACTTCTGGATGTTTTGGCACTTCTGCCTTCAAGTCTCACGGCGGGTTGCTGTCGCCCCCTCCAGCTGTGCTCGTCTTAAACCTAAAAGAGTCGGGGGGGGTAATTTTCTGAGCCTGAGAGGCTGATGCAACATACCAGACACGTGCAGCGCCCTCACCTTTCACACACTAACCCACTGGAGCCCAGAAAACACTGTCTACCCCCACCAGTACCTCCACCTCCTCCCTCCGCCCCTCTGTGGAAGCTCATGTACTGTACATGTGCACATCTTGTTTTGTTGTAATCTGCACAGTTTCAGAGCCTTCGAGCATCTTAAACAACCCAGGTTGACCAGTAACACTCAATCTGGTGTTTAAGGAACATTTTATCTCAGTTTTATCATCTATCTGCCGGTCAGCGTCATCCACCTCTTTTAGATCACAGTGCGTCAGTGAAAGTGTTTATGTTATTATTATCATTTTAAATCCCCCAAAATCTCTGAATTCAGCGTCTGTTTGTGGTGTCAATTGCTAGTTCCA